CAGCCTTTAAAAACTGACACATTGCTCTATTTTTTTTAATTGTTAGCTGCATTATATTTCTTTTGTGAGTATAATTTTATTGTTTAACTTTGCTGAATTTGCTGAATGTAATATTGTCTGTGTGGTTTATTTAAAAACCTTAAACTAGATTCCCCATTTATTTTTATTCTCCTGTATTTTATATATTTAATATTCATATAAAATAAATAAATATCTAATTTAAATATATATTTAATATATAAGTACATAAGTAATAGTATATAAAATACAGGTTATATTAAATTCTGAATTTCTCATTATCTTAGTTGTCCAAAACACTGGACAATATTTATGATTTATTTAAAATTTTTTCTTTATTTAAAAGGGAAAATATAATAAAATAAATTTACTTTTCAGTTGAAGCTGTTTAGTAATAGAGGGACTGCTGTAATAATAATTACAATTTTATTTCAAGCTAGAGTATATGTGTGTGGAGAAGTTGTAAGGTATATATAATATATATAATATATATATATATGCAAAAAACACCCTTCATTGATTTCTGCTTGATACTTTTCCTGTGATTCCCAAAATATCTCAATGAAAATAAAACATTTACTTTTAATTTTATTCTCTAATTTTAAATTTGGCTATTGTTTCAAACATACAGAAAATTTGCAATCACTGTAGTTAAGAACCCTGAATATTTTCTGCTCATATTCACTAGTTGTTTAAACTTTTCCTCCTCTACTTTATTATTAGTGTTCACTCTCTTCATGTATGTACACACACATGCATGCATGTATGTGCATGTATGTATATTTACATAATTATGTACATACAGGGGTTAGCAAAAGGAGATTTACAGTTGAAATACGAATAAATAATAATACAAGAATATGGTCTCTTTCATGTATTCATAACTGTAAACTTCCTTTTGCCCAATTCTATACATATATATGCATACATATACACATGCATATATATACATATATACATATATACATATATATAACACTTTTTCCCTGAATTATTTTAGAGTAATGAGCAGGCATCATGCTTATTGAGTCTAGGTACTCTTGTGTATATTTCCTAAAAGTAAGGATATTGTCCTATGTATAACCACAGTACAATGATAGAAAATAAGAAATTCATTATTAAGAAAATACAGTTATGTAACTTAGTGCACCCAGGATCACACACGCATTTGGTTGTCATGTCTTTTAAACTTCCTTTAATCTGGAACAGTTCTTCAGTCTTTAATTACTTGGAGTTTGAAGAGGTCAAGTCACATATTTTCCTCATTGGGGTCAGGCCAGATAATATTCAGACTTTCCTCATTTTGAGTTTGCCTGAAATTTCTTAATGATTGTTTCAGGTTATACATTTTGGCAGATACACCACAAATGATGTGTCCCTCTGGCTTGCATTATACTTGGAGGCACGTCATATGTATTTTCCTATTACTGATGATGATGTCTTTGGTCATTTAGCGAAGGTGGTCTCCTGTCAAGTTTCTCCATTGACAGTTTCTATATTTCCCTTTGTAATTAGTAAGTGATTTGTGAGAAGATACTTAAGACTAAGGAAATATCTTGTTCATCATCATACTTTCCCATAAGTGCTGATTCACAAATGTTTTCTTAAGTGAATCATTGCGTTTGCCTAATGGTGATCTAACTCTATTAACACATCTACCAGTATATTTTAAGTGGCATTGTATATAAAGGAAGAGTTTTCCATTCCTTTTATACTTTATTTTCTATTTATATTTCACTTTCTGTAATGAATTTTAATTCTTTATGATTATTATTTATTTTGATTTTCCAAGTGTCCTGAATTTGACTGGTGAGAGCGTTGGAAGTTAGATCCTCTGTCCTTTGGACATGTGCTCATAATTTTTAAATGCCATACCCCTCCCCCAGAATAAATGTTGTTATTGTGAATTCCACACTTTTAAGTCTCCTTCCTGTGTCCATGTTGTAATATGCCAGGATAGTTTTTTTAGTATTTTAATAACTTTTGTGGACTTTTTGAGTGTAAGTTTTGTGTCACTATTGGAACCTTTGTTTCTCTCTTTTCTCTCCCTCACACTTTTTCTGGACCCCTGAGATCCCTTAAGCTCCAATACACATAATGGGGCTTAAAAGACAGCTCTGTTAAAAATTGGTGTTTAATTTTCTGTGTATAGGTAATTTAACATTTTTGTTATTATCCAACTTGCAGTTATACTGAAGATCTAGGATTTGTGTGGATTTTTTGTTTGTTTATTTTGTTTTTGTTGGCTCTACATATTTTGCTCAATTTGTGAAGTGTTTCAAATGTAGGTGGCTGCTGTTGCCACTATTCAGAAATTCCAAGTCCATATTTTTAAAACATTCTACAAAACATGTTATTTCAAGTTATTTTTAAGATATGGCATGATGTAACCAGAATGTGTGGATTGAATAGCCTTAACTTTAGTGGTCAGTGTTCTCTTAATCCAGTTTATTTAGTTAAATTTAAGGGTTTTTCTCTATCATTATATTATGAAATGGCACGCTTATCAATCCAAAAAGTCTCTGACAGGTGGGTTCATGGTAAAATCATTATTTGAGATAACTTCCTTGATTTGTACCAATAAATTGTGATTTGAAATTTCTTCCTTAGCTTAAAAAATTATTTAGACGAATGGAAATTCAAGCACATGAAATTTTAAAACGTGTTCAGGGTCCGGCAGAAGTAGCACCTGCTTGAGTTTGGTTGGCAGGATAATAATATGGGGGTAATAATTTGTAGTTTTAATTTGAACATTCAACCTAAAATGTCACATGGTGTGCTTGAGCGTGATATTATCATGTTACATGATTACATGCTGATGATTTTGTATACAATATTTTATAATAAAAAGGGGAGTTATTTGTGCCAGGCCCTGTATGTAGATTAAAATAAGGTGACTAATCAGTAACACATGATTTTAAGAATCCAGTGAAATGTAGCTATAAGCAGTTGCTTCAACTAATGAAACAAGCTTTTGAGCATCATTAAGGATAGCCCTTCCTCCAGTTTTACAGAAAAGAGGTATGGTTGTAGTTGGTATGTGGGGGTCAGGAACAAAACAACCCCAGTGTTTGAAAATGACAGAGTAGACAACGGCTTGCAAAAGTAGGACGTGGCTGAGTGCGGAAAGTATGCCTCATCCAACGGAGGCAACCGTTTCTGTGTTCTCTGGAGACTGAGCTCATCCTAACAAAATCTCTGCTCTTTCCAACAAGCTAGAAATGAGGGTCCTTATGAGAAATCTTCCACTTTTGAATATTTAAAAATACTTTTAAATCTATTGTTTTGGTTAAACAAACCATGTCACCAAGCCACATTTGGTTCATCCACCCCATTTTGCAACCTCTGCTCTGGGTGCAAGGGAGGGACTAACAGGGCTTGTAGTGAGAAGTAATTGAATCAGAAAAGCTGGTTCTGAGCCCAGGATCACCTTTTATTAGTTGTGTCAAGTTGGGGAAGTCACCTGATTAGTGTTAACTTTAGTTCTTTTGCCTATGAAGAGGAATATGCTAAAGTTAAAGAAACACAGATATACTGATGTTACAACTTTATAATTACATTAAAATTATATGACTATGAATTTTTGTCTCTGATGAAGCTTCAAGTTTTAAACTTTGACAAGTGAAATTTAAAAAATTCAGAGTTTCTTATAATTTTTTTATTTTTACTTTTTACATTTAACAGTAAACCTGCTAATTACCTCTATTGTTTCCTCTTGTTTGAGAGGCCCTGTGTTGATCATTAGTTAAGTCTTCCTGAGCCAGGTGGAGGACTTTGCCATCTGATGTATTATTTTTTACACTCCAAGAAGATAAAGTAGACATTTAGCTCAATACTTGTTCTGTTTGTTGAACTGTTGATTTGATTACAACTTGTTTTGGTGAACACAGAAGCAAATCTTCTGTATTAATAAACTGGTATTTCTGTTTAGTACTATAAAGAATCAAATCTCTCTGGGCAGAAATTCTGTTGGTTGTTGAGAACTAATATTACTCAAAAGATGCTTGCTACAGAGGGGAATTTTATTTGTATTGTCCATAGTGTGTTTAATCTATCTGAAACAACATATTGTGCTTTAAAGGGTTATTTTAATTATCGTTAGGTTGTGTTTTATCTTGTTTCTTTTGTACAGTTCTTTTATAAAACAGTATACTCTAAAATTTAAAATGTCATTTAGGTTGAAATATTTTGAGCTTTGAAATAAATGTATTCTTCTCAACACCCTTCTAAAACAAGCAAGTTAATTAATAAAATCTGATAAATAACCTTTTTCCCTGTAATTATTGACTTTCTGAAAAAAGAAAATGGATGTTTGTGAATTGTTACGAGGCATGCAAGTTTCTCAGTGCCTGGTCTTCCATTAGAATTGACACGCAGTTACAAAGTGAATTGGTGCATTTCTCTGGATAAATCAAGCAAAATTCTCCTCTACATCAGTGATCTTCATATGTCAGAAGAAGTATGTTTTAAAAACTTGAATTATTTTAATAACTGCTTCAAATCTCCAATTAAATTTAACCTGCAAACATTTCATGTGTTTGGATTGCTTTACATTGTTCTGCCATATTCTGGGGGCATTGTGTTTCTCATATATAATTCTGAAGATAATTCTCTTATCTCTTACTTACGGGTTTTCAGGAACATCTATAAAGGACACAGGACAAAACCAAAGGGGGGGTGGGATCAAGGGTAGGAAGTGGGGATGGCTGGGGTGGGGGTTAGTGATAGGGGCAAAAATGGAGACAACTGTACTTGAGCAACAATAAAAAAAAGCTAAAAATAAATAAATAAATAAATAAAGAGTATTCTCCTTTACTAATATTTAGAACAGCTAGGGATATTTCTATTCATCAGCCCAATATTTTGCAAAATCTTATTTCAGTATTTTAAGTATGTAGTGTCTAAGTGTACATTGGTTTGCATTAGTGTTTCTGTGACCTTGGCATATTGCTTACTCTTTTGGATTTTTTTTCTTTCCACAGATGCATTTTGTAGGAGTATTTTGAGGATGAATGTTTGCAAATCATTTTGAAATTGTCAAGTGCCACATACAGTAAGTAATATGTATTTTTATTTTTCCACTCAATGCCAGTCATGCTGAATGAATTTGGCAGACAGTCATAAAAGAACACATTTCTATTTTTATATTTCTTGATATTTGTGAATATTGAAGAAAAATGTATATAACATAAAAATTTGATGGGCTATTTGCTAGTTGTGATTAAGTTGTGTAATTTCAAGATTTCTAATGACTGCTTTTACTATTGTTCTAGATACATAACTTCCACAATATTTCCACATTATTTAAGATTTATTTTTTCTTAATTGTAAGTTGAGAAGAGTGAAGGCAAAAATTAGTGTTATTTTAGCCACTGTTGATATGGAAGTTTAAAAAAGTAGTATTGAATTAAGTATTAAGATTTGCTGTATATCAGATAATTTATATGTAGTGCCTTTAATTCTACCACAAATATTTTAAGTTTATTATTTTTATTTCTACTTTATAAAGAAGAAAACTAAGTCTCATGAAGTTTTAATACATTACTTAATATCTATTCAAAATGATGAAACTGGGTTTTGAACACAAGACTTAAAAAAAATTGCCTCCACCAATAACAGAAAAAGTCAAACAACTTTTATTTAAGAGCCTGAATATTTTAAAATGTCCAACATATTCTGATTATTTCTTTGGGTTTTGTTTTACTTAAACATTATCCTGAAAATGTTCAACTTTTTTTGCTGTTTGTCTATCACATTTTGCTTTTATTTCAAATGATGCTCTCCAATCCTTTCTTAAACTGTTTCGAACTAGTAGGAAATAAGTGAAAATGTAACTTCTTTAAATGAAGATTATAACTCACCTAAATTATTTTATATAAAAATGTTTAAAATTAGATTTTTGAAGTTCTCCAAGAGTCTTCTTTCATTCATTAAATACAAATGTACAATTAAATGCTACCATATTATTATTTCAGAGATGGAAGGGACCCTAGAACCATTGATCCCTGGCCTCCACATGCCCAAATTCCTTTTTTGATGAAGTGGGATGATCTGGAGGACAAATCTAAATAGAATTTCCAAAAAAGGGAGAATCAGTGATGGTAACATTGATTTTGTACATTTTCTCCAATACAATTACTTCAAGGAAAACAAAGGCAGCATAGTGTAGAGGGTTAAGAATTTAGACTCTGGATTCAAACCACCTGGATTTGAACCCTGGATTTATTACTTACTAGCTATGTAGCATAATAAATTACTTAATTTTTTAATGAGGGTAAGATAAGGACTAGCTCATTTGTGGCAAGTGAGATAATACATGTAAAGTATAGCACAATTCCAGGTACAGAGAAAATGTTCAGTAAATGTTAGTTATTAAATTGAAATTGATTTATTTAGATGTTTTAATTTAAGTATGTTTGCCAATAAGCATCATAGCTTCATAATCATGCCATATAAAGTACACAGAAAAGGTATTCAGTGAATACTGTTGATTGAAACACTCAAAAAGAAACTAAACTTCATCCTTCTTTATAAACAGAGCAAGGTGCTTTTTCATAGACATTGTTATTTTTTTGAACTGTTAACGAAGAAACCAACTATTTTGCCAAATATCAGGTATATACAGGGTGGGGGTAAGAGTAGGTTTACAGTTGTTTGTATGGAAAATAATGGAATAATCAATACATATTAATACTAGAATAAACTCTGTTTCTAGTACTCACAACTGTATACCTACTTGTGTTGCACCCTGTACACAGTGTGTAAGATAGCATGCATATGTATCCCAGTGTGTGTGTATATATCCTATATACTCAGGCTGAAAGTGTTTATGTGCATTTTGAAGAAAAGAAGGGCACTTGTGAGGTGTTTATGGAGTCTGAAATGTTTATTTTGAAGGAGACAGGGCAAATTTATAAATACAAAGTAAAGAAAATAATGAAATGATTGTCAAATAATTTGGGAGAACAATCTCATCCAGTGTTTTATTAAACAATTTGTGGAAATTGAGGCGTGTGGAGAAGAAAACAGTATTTGTTAAGCATTTACTCTGACCATGCACTTTTCATTCCACATCTCAGTTAAGCTAAGCAAATGTCAGGACGTTGGTATGTCATTATCTCTGTTTTTCATAGGAGAAAAGTATAGCACAGAAAGTTTAAATCTGTCATTCCTGGAAATGAATCTTGATGTCCATCTAATTCTAAAGCTTCTTTTCTTATCCTCTTAATCTGGGTGTTAAGCACTGAAAGTCTGTGGCTTACCTAACTTTCTCGATTTGCATAAAAACACTGATCCCAAACCTCAGATCATACGTGTGAATTCTTTAGTAAATAAATAGTTGGTGGCATATTTTCAAATAAAACAAATGACAATTGCCTTATAACAAGTGTTAATAGGACAGCTCTGGAATCGAAAACGAATTGCCCAATTGCCTCTAAAATGCTGTTTGAGTGAAGAAAATTGAAAAAATAAAAAAGCTCCTTCCCTAATATCAGAGGGTATACCTTATGCTTTTATCAGTCTCACTTTTCAGAATTTGAAGTGACAGACCACACCTTCTTCTTGCAGTCCTTCAGCCACTTCTTTCAGTGCAGAGAGGTTGGGAGTGTAGGGTTTACTTTGATTTACTCCTTCTCTTCCCTGTTTACCATCTTCAGGTGTATCAGCTTTCAGGGACACCCTTTACAACACTTTGGCCATTCTAATACTTCACCTTTTCAGTTCTTTGGTGATCTTCATCTTCTTTCATTTCAGTCATCCACTGATTCCAGTCTCTTCACACATTCCTGCTTGAAATGCACCATCAGCAACACTTTACCTAAAGGCTATTGTCAAACTCACTTGGAAATATTGTTGCCCTGAAAATGAAGGGCTCATCAGGTCTTTTGCATTCCCACACTACTCTGTTTTGAGACTGAAAGCCTTATAGAATGCTTTAACTTTCCATTTCAAGGTTTGGTCTCTGAAAGACAAAGCTAGTGATTACATTTTGTGATTCTATTTCATTTAATTCAATAAGTATTTACTGTATGCTCCTATAATATAAGGCACATTGCTGTTAAGTATTAGAGCAAGTGGGATGAAAAGATGACAATGACTATTAAGAAAATTCTGTCTTCAATTTGAGGAAATAGAATATGCCCAGGCATAAATAAAGCAAAGTGTATGTTATTAGGTTACGGTGTCATGAGAGCAGTCGAATGTAATCAAATTAATAAAGCTATTTCAAGTAATTTGAAAAAGTTACATATGCAAAAATGAAGCATTAGAAGAGATTTAAGAAACGAGATATAATTCTAAATTTAGTTGGTTCAGGATTTCATCACAGAGGTTGCCTTTGCACTGGATCTTGACGAGGTGGAAATTTTAACAAAGAAGTCAAGGGAAAGGCAGCTCCACGGTTAGAGGGAAAGAGGCAGACTTCAGATTCAATGAATGGGAAATTAATTAGCTTGGCAAGCAAATAAGTTTCCTGTGTTGGACTAAAACCAATAACACTAGAAAATAAGGCTGGAGTCGGGTTGTAAAGAACACTGATAATCAGAGTAAGAAATTAGAATTTAAACTTAATTGGTAGGCAGTTAATATAAACGGGAGTATTTTGTGAAAGTAAACTCTGTGAACAAAAAGTTTCTTGCTTGAATACTAGTCAGAAGCTTCTTCATGATGGATTCCCAGCTGGAAGACTTGTAGAGAAGAACAATTTTAGGAAAGAACAGCAATATGCGAAGGGATGGATGACTGAATGGAGGAGGGTGGGACATGAGGCCAAGCAGGGGGAACAAAGAGGAGGGAATAGATACAGGTGAGATTCTGAAAAAAAAATAGGGTCAGGGAATAATAATTAACACTTAAGTGGCATTTACTGTGTTCTCGGCTTTGTTTTAAATTATTTATATTTGTTGTTTAATTTAACCTTCAAATGATTTTGAGAGGTAGATTTTGTAATGTTATCCCCATTTGCACGAGAGAAAATTAGGCAGCCTGCAGCTGAGGAGATTGCCCCAGGCCAAATAATTAGAAAATGGTAGGGCCGATGCTTGAGTCCAGGTGGTCAAGCTTCATAATCTCTGCAGTTAAGCACTGGAAATTATTTTTCTTTAAAGAGTCTGAGATTTTCAGCTTGACTGATCTGAAAAATGATGTTGCCAATGATCAAGAAACAATTTTTACTCCCCAAAGTTTACCTTTTCTTTAAGTTAAGTCTTGACCCTTTCTTTAAGCCTTTGGGAGGGAAGACAAATTTGACCTTTAGGGAGAAATATCCCTTGTGGTTAGTGGTGAATCTCTTGTATACCTTCACTTTAATGCTTGGCAACAGGAGAAAAAATAATTTATGATATTGCTCAATTGTAAATTAGAATAGTAAATATGTCATCTTAATATGATCTTTCTCCTTACCTTAGTAGAGGAACAAGTTTAGAGTGCTAAATTAAATATTTAATATTATGGGTCCATGAAAGGCCAGTTATTTTAGATTGAGTTTACCAATCATACTAAATGATGATTTTAACAAGGAGAAAAACCAGTGTACCCAGCATAGAGTCTCTTTTTCTGCACGGAGAAGAGGCACAATACACTGCTTCCACGCGTGGGCTCCAGAACCCCACTGAAGCTTGGCTTCAGGTCCCCAGAGGAGGCTTCCTCAGCTGTGGGACTGTGTCAGTTCTGTACGTTCTCTGGGCCTCGGTCAGTTGCCTTTGAAACATGATAGTGATAGTGCTGGGTCTTCTGGACCTCCTGAAGGTTAAATGAGATAAAGCTCTTGAAGTGGCTCCTAACACACAGTAAATTCTGAATAGATGTTAGTTATGTTCATTGAACTTTATCTCATCTATTGTAATATTTAATTTATAAAATTTAATTATAAAATTATTGCTATTTTAGGCCCTTTACTTTGAATTTTTATGCATTAAGGGCACAAAACAATAATTTTAACAAGCAAAGAATCATGGAACTTTCACAAATCAAGAAATAGAACACTTTCTGCATTCCAGAAAACCTGCTTCTTCTGCCACCCAAACAAAACTCCTCTTCCAACAGTTCCCTGAC